GATCTATAGCTCGAGGAAAAACATCTATTGTTAAGAAAAAGAAAAGAACAACAAAGAGCCATACTCTCTATTCCTTTTACATTTACAAGGTCGAGGATATCATCATTAAAAAATTGCTTGAGCTTAAACACCAACATTTCAAGATTTTCTAACTTCACTCCGTCATTTTCTAACACCTCAAAACATACCTGGCCCTCATTGAATCGATCAGTTTCTAGGATATCCCACCTAGGACTAAAAGGGTAGTCGAGGTCACAGGGTTTGACAAAAAAAGAAATGTTGTTTCCAACCCCAAAGAGAGATCAGCATTTTGGGTGCCCTAAAACCTCCTTGGGGTGACAGGTATACGAGAAAAAGTTATAGCCCGGGGTCATTTTGAGTTCGTATACTATCTTAAGGAGGTCGATCCTAGGCCAAATCCCTAAATATCTGCAAGCTATAAAATAATATATTAACATCCTCCACCCGTTCAAGTCCAACTGGCCCGGGCACATTAAAATGTGACCAAAAACTCAATAAATAACGAGGTGTAGAGACCACCTCATACATCCCTTGAGGGAATCCCTAAAAAGGTTATCTCTCAATCTTGAGCATCGACCACTCTATCACCGGGCCCAAGGGACCTAATGTCACACACTAGCATTACCCCATACTTACTAGCTACCTCTATAATCTTGTGTTCTTTATAGATGGTATGGAGTTCAAGAAAAGTGAGAATCACTTCTTTTCGAGGATGAGCATTCATAGGCTCGGCCATGGGAATAAGGGACGACACTAAATCCTTTTGACTACTTGAGCTCAATCCTTTTAGATGCACGGAGCCTATGATATGCACAAAAGACGTATCCCGAACTCAAGCCCTCATGCATCTAGCCCGAACTATTTGCTCAGAGCAATTGTTCCCCCAAATTCTTCACATACGTGGTTGGGCTTTATCCTATTGGTCGGGCATAGTCCAGCAGTCTGTCCTTGGTAGAGTTAGGCCTAACTTTGGCGATATTACTCTTCATGCCCATATCTCGTGCCTTATAAAAGTTTTAGTCCTTCCATGACTAAAACTCTATACATTGATCATCGTCCAAATATCCAACATCTTGTAACCCATATCAAACTCCAGAGGTAATTTCAGTATAACTCAATCACTATATGTGATAAGGTTAGAGCTTATAGATGGTTTAATTATTCTAGGATTCAACCACCAACCTCTATAAATACAGAACCGATGTTCATTATTCAGGTACGTTTTACATAATTTTCAGTTTATAACCATACGCATAATTTCTCTCTCTAATCATAAGCATTAGAGAGGGGAGATGATAACACACCTTGACGCCTTTGTTTCAGGTATCGAATGGTCAATTCCACCTATTTCTAGTCATCAACAGAGATATTGTTCGTGCTCATTCTTTATTCTCAAGCTCGAGATTATATTGGTGCGAATTATAGTAGCATCACTAGGCAACCACATTCGCTGCTACCACCGACAAGGCCACTCTCACGTGCTACTCATCGCGACAACTTATTGCCCAAAATCAAGACACCGAATAGCAAATGGCAAATAATAATAATAATAATAATAATAATAATAATAATAATAGAGTAATTCCCTGTGCCATATCGTCCACTTGTTTCAACAAATAATAAGGGGCTGTTCTCTTCGTGTTTCCGTTTTTAGTTTTGAATTCATTTTGGGTTTTGTATTTTTGAGTGTCCATTTTGAAATTGTTGAAAACGCGTTCTTTTTGTCAATTTGAAAAATTGTTTTCAAAAAAAAAAAAGTATGAAGTTTTGACTTAGTTTTAACTGAAAACAGTCAAAATGACTTTTTTGGTGTTTTCCATTTTCTTTGTAAATTTTAAAATCATTTTTGGAAATTTGTTATGAAAATAAATAAGTAAACGTGTTTTCAGTGTTTTCGTAAACTAAAAATTGAAAATGATCTGAAAACAGCAAAGAGAACGTACCCTAAATTTTTGAAACTCTTCATTATCTTCATTTAAGTTTGCCAAGCAATGATAAAATATGATATTCTGGTCATAAAAAAAAGAAAGGTTCAACTACGAAATCTGAATCGCAGGACAATATTCAACCCTAATTTGCTTATACTAAGCGCATGTCTGGGCGTGATTTTGAGTCGGTGAAATCAATTTTTTGAACGTTTGCGCCGGGCCCACGTGATACACCTCTAGTTCTTGGAAGCAAACCTACATGGCGCTAAGACTGAAATGCCCTCACATGTGCAAGATGTGGGGGTGGTTGTTGTGTGTAATTTTGTTGAAATTTAATGGCACACAAGGAAACATGGCCTGACACAAGGAAACATGGCCTGACTTCCTGTCAGTCCATGTGATGGAAAAGAAGCAGTTGAAATTATCAACGGTCAAAAATTCACTTTTTTGGCATTTTTAAACGAGCCCAGACAGGCCCTAAAACTTAAATATACCCAAAATTCTCACTGCCAAGCATAAAAAATACTAGAGAAACATAGGAAAATGAGAATTATTTTAAACAAACCCAATAATTGAACGAGATATTGAATTTTTTTTACTAATTTTCTTCACACCGATAAAAAAATAATACCATAGAAAAGTTTGTTTGAGATGAAAAGTAAAAGCCACATATTTTCAGTTACATATAACACTATATTGTAGAAAATTTTGTCCCTGTTTATTGTTACCTGGAGGAAATAAATTAGGATAACTTCTTACTATATATAGCAGTAGTCATCCAGAGAAAAGGAAAAAAATAAATGAAAAAGGATCATATGTTAGATTTTTATAAAACTTAAAATTTCAAGAACTTGAAAATTTAAGGGGCAGTTCTCTTTATATTTCAGTTTTGGGTTTTGAATTCATTTTGGATTTTGTAAAATTGTTTTCAAAAAAAAAAAAAAGTATGAAGTTTTGGCTTAGTTTTAACTGAAAACAGTCAAAATGACTTTTTTGGTGTTTTCCATTTTCTTTGTAAATTTTAAAATTATTTTTGGAAATTTGTTTATGAAAATAAATAAGTAAACGTGTTTTCAGTATTTTCGTAAACTAAAAATTGAAAATGATCTGAAAACAGCAAAGAGAACGTACCCTAAATTTCTGAAACTCTTCATTATCTTCATTTAAGTTTGCCAAGCAATGATAAAATATGATATTCTGGTCATAAAAAAAAAAAAGAAAGGTTCAACTACGAAATCTGAATCGCAGGACAATATTCAACCCTAATTTGCCTATACTAAGCGCCTGTCTGGGCGTGATTTTGAGTCGGTGAAATCAATTTTTTGAACGTTTGCGCCGGGCCCACGTGATACACCTGTAGTTCTTGGAAGCAAACCTACATGGCGCTATGACTGAAATGCACTCACATGTGCAAGAAGTGGGGGTGGTTGTTGTGTGTAATTTCGTTGAAANGTTGTGTGTAATTTTGTTGAAATTTAATGGCACACAAGGAAACATGGCCTGACACAAGGAAACATGGCCTAACTTCCTGTCAGTCCATGTGATGGAAAAGAAGCCGTTGAAATTATCAATGGTCGAAAATTCACTTTTTTGGCATTTTTAAACGAGCGCAGACAGGCCCTAAAACTTAAATATACCCAAAATTCTCACTGCCAAGCATAAAAAACACCAGAGAAACATAGGAAAATGAGAATTATTTTAAACAAACCCAATAATTGAACGAGATATTGAATTTTTTTTACTAATTTTCTTCACACCGATAACAAAAATAATACCATAGAAAAGTTTGTTTGAGATGAAAAGTAAAAGCCACATATTTTCAGTTACATATAACACTATATTGTAGAAAATTTTGTCCCTGTTTATTGTTACCTAGAGGAAATAAATTAGGATAACTTCTTACTATATATAGCAGTAGTCATCCAGAGAAAAGGAAAAAAATAAATGAAAAAGGATCATATGTTAGATTTTTATAAAACTTAAAATTTCAAGAACTTGACAATTTAAGGGGCAATTCTCTTTGTATTTCAGTTTTGGGTTTTGAATTCATTTTGGATTTTGTGTTTTGAGCATCCATTTTGAGATTGTTGAAAATGTGTTCTTTTTGACATTTTGAAAAATTGTTTTGAAAACACTCAAAACGTGTTTTGAAAATTTTGACTTGATTATAACTGAAAATCCAAAAACGACAAATTTGTCGTTTTGAGTTTTCTTTGTAAATTTTTAATTTGTTTTCAAAAACGTATTTTCAAAAATAAGAAATAGAACGCGTTTTCACTATTTTGAAAAATCGAAAATAGAAAACGACTTGAAAATAATAAAGAGAACAAACCATAAATACTTTCTCGTCAAGATTCTCCAGTCAAATCACCAAGAGAATTATTAAATACGGTCGTATAGAACTAAATAACCCTTAAATTCTGTAATGCTGGTTCTTGATTTCAGGTTTTGAATTTTGAAGATCAACTGCAATCTCTTTATATTTGACTTCATAATATTTAATCTTGAATATTGCTTATTTTGATTTTTGAGTTCTTGTTCTTGTTCATGACTTTGGCTTCCTGCTCTATAATCTTGATTGTCGATTTCCAATTCTTGATTGTAGATTTTGGATCTTCATCTTTAATATGTTTTCTTTTTGTATTTTTGTATTGATGAAATAATGCAAAGAATGAGAATTGCATTTGAATTGAGGACCATGATTTGTATTTCTATATGTATTCGACATATCATCTAATACAATTCTAATGGATTCAGTCTCTACACATATTTAGGCCCACACTTTATTGCGATGTTCAAAACCCATAACTTTAATTTTTTATTAGATCACTTTAATTGTGCTTAACTTTAATATAGCATTTACACACAATTAATTATATATGTACATCCACGTGAAAATTAAATTTCAACACATAATCATGAAACTAAATTAATTTCAATGGCACAAAGTCCAACTATGACTATGATGTTCAACACACAGAACAATACAGTGAACAAATTTTTTAACTTTAATTTCGATCTTCAATACTATTTAGTATTGTTCCAATATAGTCACCTTATGTACCTTGTTAAGGTGGGAAGATCAATACAAGGAGAATCTTTCCACACATCAGAATGTGTTCTTAGGATTTCTCTTGCTTTATCCTTTAGATGTGAGGCACAATCTGCTTGCAGCACCATGCACAGCTTCACTACAGTTCCAACCCTCAACATTTCCTGCAGTACTCCATTGCTTCCTGAATATTTACAGATCAATGAAATAATCAAAATGGCTCTATCATCTGCAGTGTTTGAAACATTAAGAATCCTCCTTGTGATTACTGCAATACCAGCCGCATGATTCAGAAGTTGAGCCCTTCCATCTGCACTTGAACATAAATGAAACAAGATTCCCAGTATAAGTTCTGAGGTTTTCTTTTCTGGGATTCTTAATTCAAGCTCGATGAGCTCAAAAACTGCCCCAGCTTCGATCATATTTATCCTATCTCTTCCACATGGACAAGTGTTTAGAATAACATGTAAAAGTGCATTGATTCCTTGCTGTGAGATACCTTCCCGTAGAACACGAACAATCCTCTCGAAAAATTCTGGCTTCAATGTTGCTAGCATTCTCGAATTCGCCTTTTCGGTAACAGCTTTCAGTGCATATGCTGCGTGCACTTTCAGGGCTACGTGATCAAGAGCCCCATCGAAACCTAAAACCCACGTTAAAGATTCGACGATTTCTTCGTTCTGGGACAAGGATGTCTTTTCTTGGCCTAATAAACCTCGAATAAGGTAAAACAGACTTAGAGCCTCTTCTAAACCTTCTGTTTGACGTTTCCTATGACACGATATAATAAAATACATTAAGGCCTTAACTAAACCAGCTTCCACCATGTAACTTTTATTTCTGTCATTCTCCACAGCGATTCCTTCCAACTTTTGCAGTGTTTTCACTTGCAAATTAGGGAGCCAAAGATCTCTAACAAGATTCAGCACATGAAATTTGCTAAGTGGAGGCTTCGGCGTCGGAATCAGATCAATACCATATGCAGAATTCACAGTGCACCATGCTTGGATCAGACGGCGGAGAGTGTGATTTGGAGTCAAATCTGAATCTCTTGGCAAAGGATGTTTCGTGACTGGACAGATTGTGTTGTGATTCTTGAATAACCAGTACTCAATGCTGTCTCGATCGTAGGTGATCCCTGACATTGTTGTTACTGGATCTTTCATTATTTGTAGAGAAATTGGACAGATGAAATACTCAGGGACTTCAACAGTACTAATTTCCATAATTAGAAATGCAAAATTAGCAAAGAAAATAAGTGATAAATTATAAGTATGGAGGAGGAATGAACTAATAAGAAAAAAAAAATGTGTTGAAGAAGAAGAAAATGCAGTATAATTACATATTCTGGTAAAAGATTACGGCTGTTCAAAGGGAAGGAAATCAAAGTCTTATATTCTCACTGGATCTTTCGGTGGTCACATGCAAGAAAATATAGAGGTTATGTTTGGCTGAATTTAGAAGTTGTTCTTTACTTTTAAGTAATTCTTAATTTCTAATTAATACCGATAAGTTAATAATTTCTCACTTTTAGATACAAAAACGTCTTATTCCAAAGGAGAACAAGTATTTGACTCTTTTTCCCCCCTAATTTTGGCCATAAATATTTATTTTAAGAATCACTTATTCACTTATAAGTAAAATTATAGAGTTGTTAACCTTTGGCCAAACATGCTCTTAAACCGTGGAGTAGACAAGCAACCAGCGATCAACTAATAATTAATAGAATTTAAATACTCGGACTACCAATATTTTATTTCTGAACAGATATTATTCAAAACACTAATTAAAGGATTAGGCCGACTTTCTCAATTGTTAAATAATTTTTTTTTATGACAAAAGATGTTATTTATAAGTAATACTATTTATCATTATGATGATAAATCGTCGATAATGTAACAATCTACCATTCCTTACATTTCTTTATATCTCTATCCTCCCTCCACCCCACCATACCCTACTCTCATATAAATTGAACTGTATTCTACATACACTATCACATGACCGATGAATTATCATCATAATAAATATCTTTATTCGTTATTTATTCCTTTTAACTGTTAAGGGTATAATCTTACGTCACAACTAATACAAAAACATTAATCAACGTGTAAGATTTTGAATTACTTCTCTTAATAATGTTGACATTTTAATGCTCATTTAGTACTAATAAAATGAGAACTTAGGGGCTAAGCTTCGAGAAAATAACTATCATTGAAACATAACAATGTCCCTGCTTGATTTAGCTAAAAAAATTGATAAAAAATTTAATTATTATTTTGGGACCTATAATTTTTATTATTTTTTCGGCCACACATTTAGGGGTTGTTTGTCCGGACTTCTACTTAATGTTTGAAAATTAATTTCTATAAGAGTTTTCAGTTTTTAAAGGAGTACTTTGATAAAATTAAACAAACAAGTCACAAAGTAAATTTTAGGCTTCAAAAGACACTTCATCAACTTTTATTATAATTTATTAAAAATTGATTTTTAACAAAATCAAAAGAAATTTTAGCCACCAGCTGGTTGAATTGATACGTTTCATATTTGGAAAAGGGAGTCAATTTTCAACCCAACTATACTAGTCTAGCTGTCTACGTAAAGGAAAAAAAGAAAAAGTATGAAAATCACTTGAATGCCTACACGAAAAAATTGCACATTTAGTGCCCAAATTTTCGAGCCTATTACAAAGTCATTTCTCATCTTCAAACTCGACCAACATCTTCGATACATTTGATCTTTTGGGAGTTCCTATTGAAAAAGTTATTGTGTTGCTAATAACGTCTAAGACGATTTTACCTCTAAATATTCTAACATGACTCAACATTGCAATTGACAAAAAACTAAGGTTCCGTTTGAGAGCCATTCTTTCTTCAAATAATACATTTTTTCTTTCATATTAAGTGGGGTCCATGGCTAAAAAGAGACACAAAAATGTGCGATTTGACATAAAGAATGCATTTTTTTTGTAAAAAACTGGTTACCAAACGGAGGCTAAATAAATAAATGAACTATGTGTAAGATATAAATTAAAGGTTGGACATTTGAAAATCTAGATTTAAAATTTAGAGACGACTTTTGAATAGAAGCTAAAGATTGGGGACTATTGTGAAATTAGAGAGAGGGAGAAATTCAATGTAGGGTTTGGATACAAGTTTTACGTACTGCACTGCTATGCTCTAACCAATCAATCCATAGAAAAATTAGAATAGAAACAAAAGTCGTGTCCTCAATTGAGTCAAAAAGCCAAGTCAACGGTCCAACTCACTTGACTCTCCCTCGCAACTGTTCATTTTTGAAGCTGCGGATTGAAAGAAGAAAAAACTGACCTACACGAGAATTGAGCTTGTCATACACTCTGAGTGTAGATTAAGTTTGACACTCCGTTATGTATCAAAATTTGAGCCATTAATTATTTAAAGTATTGTTAAAATTAATGTATAAAAAATTATCACCTTATAACAATGTCAAATTTGATATACATATAACAAGATTGTTGTCTAAAAATAAACAAAGGTTGTGGAATGAGAACACATTAGAGCCATGTCTGGTTTCGCTAAAAATAAGTCAAAATTAATAATGAATTTAACCACACATATTTATAGGATTCAAAATTATTCATAAATTTTTATTAAAATCTACTAAAAATATAATTTTTATTTAAATCAAACCGAGGCTATTCAAGAAACATAATTTGGTATAGATGAATTAATTATCCCAATAATCACTAAATATAGGTTGGTGTCTTCGATTCACTATCGGTTTAGATGTCGAATTTTGACTACTAAATTTTTCAAAATGTCGGACGTTATTTATTGGGATAAATTCCATTTCACAACTGCAATGGAATAGTTGACGTGATAGACATATTGCATAATTGGTGTCTAATCACGAACAAAAAGGTCTTTGATTGCTTACTGCACTTTGACAGACATTTTTTATTGCTCATTATACTTTGACAACGTCTTTGATTGTTTGCTATACTTTAAGGTGATTGAATTTTGGCTACTGAATTTCTAAAACGTAAGTCGGGATCATATGAAAATTTAGGAATTATTAAGGACATTTTTAGGAACACGCTTGCTTTATAAATTTATGATTAGAATGACTTAAAACCGTGCGGCCTTAACGTTCCAAATTCCCGACCCCCTCGAGAAAACATTAAGTCAAGTTTTCAATACTCCCAAATAATTTAATCAATTAGGCTAAATTATTATAATTTTGAGTAGAGGATTTGAAGTAAGGAAAATATAGGAAACAAGTAATGCAGGAGGAAACTCTCTTGTTATAAAATAAATCCACACCAATTGAATTCTAATTACAAATGAGACAACATCTCTATTTATAGGCAAAAGTTTTGCAAGTGTCTTGGAATTAATGGTCAAGATCAATCTTCATCCAATGATCCTCATTGGATGCAAGTTGCCTAAATCTCCTAAGACCATGAGGAAGCAAAGTTGAAATTTGTTTTATGCAAGTGACATGTCTCTACAACCCATATTGCAAGTGGACATGTCCCTTTCATAGTGGCAAAATTGACTTTTGCTTCCTCCTTAGCAATATCTTGCAAGTGGCACAAGTGGGCAAGTTGGCCAAGTAACCTCCCCAAAATATTCAGCTGCAGCCCAAGGTATTTCCCTTGCTGGTATGATAGTTTTCTGCCTTAGAAAATCAGCATGTAGTGCTGGGAAAACTGCCCATGCTTGCAACCTGCGTGCTTGTTGTGTGCTGCTTATGTCATGCAGTTTGTGTCTGGTTATGTCCTGCATGTGACCTGTGTACTGCATGCAATCTGCCGTGATGTTTGCCTGCGTTGCTGCCATGCTGCAATGCCTCATGCACACCCGAATTTCCTAGCCGCAACCTAGGCATGATGCTGCGACCATGGACATCGATCATTTTTCCACCAAATTAGGCGACACCCTCATCGCCATGTACCGTTGAAGTTTAGACCGAATTAACCATAGGTCTACTTCATTTTCCAACTTAGTGCCATGACATTCCCGTGTCATGCTAGATCTCAAGTCATTACCTTACGATCAGTAACACTCTCCCCCATCTAATCCGCTAACGTCCTAGTAGCGGAATGTGCTGGGCACATCCTCATGTGACTTAAGCCTGGTATTGTCTTCCCCATCAATGGGCTTAAATGTTCTCCTTACTTGCGACACCATCTCCTCGATGGACGGGTGTCCACAGTGCCCTATGCACCTCTTCCCGTTACAACCTCTTACATGCCACGTTTGACACCAACTTTCACCCTCTGCATCACTGCTTTGGTTCTTCGGATGGACGACTCTTCTGGTTGTAGCGTCCCCACGCTTGTCGAATATTTTAACATCAATGCTCCCATTTTCTGAATCTTTTGACAATGATTCATCAATGTCCTTCTTCGGTAGTTCCTCGGTAACCCATCGGGCATCATATCCTCATCATCCTGAAGGACTTCAGCTAACCTCTTCTCCGAAAGGTGCTGTGTTTCCGTCCTTACGGAAATGGTTTTGGCACTCATAGCGTTAAGCAACTGGAATGAATTCATCTGAACTTCATCCTCATCTTTGCTATCTACTACCTCCGGTTTGCTCACCAAGATGGATGCCAAAGATCCTTGCTTAGGACAACGGTCCTTTACAAAGAAAGCAACTATGAGGTGTAAAATTGTCCCCCTTCTTTTTCGCATACTCCCTCATCCAAGAAGCTTGAGTGTTGCCGCCGGGTCTATAATCAGTTTTAGAATTTTGCCTCCATTCAGTCTTACCCCCTAGCATGGTCTTTCTAGAGTCTTCACCATATTCACCAAAATTCCCTTTTAGCGGGTTTGATGGTTTTTGGATTCTGACTCGGCACTTTCCTCAAACTCGATCAAGGACTCGGCTACCGTAATAGCTTCGTCTACAGTTTTGACTCCGCGACATTGTAACTCATGTCATACCCAACTAGCACATCTGTTTAGGAAACATAATAGCAAGTCCTCCTCCGGCATGCTTGAGATGTGAAGCATAAGGGTCATGGACTCCTTAACATAGTTACGAATTGTTCCCGTATGTCTCAACATCCTCAATTCTTGTGAGCTTCATAGACGACGTTCTTCGGGTAAAATTGCCTTTTTAGCTCCCTTTGGAACTGGTCCCATGTGTCAATTTTA